AACAGTAAAGCAGCTGTTTTATAAACCCGATTGATTCACTTTTTGATTTGTTTGGTTACATAAAACTTACATATTGTTCATTTTTTGCCATTAGGAAATCTACAGTTTGCAAAAAGAGAAAGAGGAGGTAAAGCAGCACTGTGATACCCTGGAGAGAGAGAAACTGAGGATTGAAAGACTCTTGGAGGATGCATCTGCTCAGGTATGCTAAGGCTACGTTCACACTGCAGGTCTTAATGCTCAATTCCAATTTTTTTTTTTTTGTCTGGTTGTTCACATTACAAATAAAATGTGACAGCAAACGCGCTCTAGTGTGAACGGTTCACGGCCCTCAAAGCAGCCTGCATGTGCAAGAGAAGACGTCACACACAACATGCTCTGTTTACGGAAGAAAAAATGGCGGCTATAGAGCTAGTGGGTGTTGTTGCAGCAGTCTATCAATTTCTGCACAGTCGTAACCGACAGAATTTTGACAAATTAATTAGAGAAAGAAGGACACAGAGAAAAAAGAGAGCTGTAACAATGGCCTTGTTTGCAGCAGTGGCTGCTACCTCCGTGCAGAGGTATATATGGACATGGAGTCAGAACCAGGAGTGGTGGGATTGGGATGTGAGAGGCTGTCTTCTCCGGCGCTGAAATTGCTGTCTGTCTTGTGTCAGTGACGTAAAAGACGGATTTAATGCAACATGACCATTCAAACAGCAGTTGCTTTCTAAAATATCAGATATGTATCGGATTCAGTACAACATACGAAAGTGACCTACATTGGATTTGAAAATATCGGATCTGTGCCGTTCAAGCTGTCATACCATGATCGGATATGGGTCGTATAGGGTCAGAAAAGTCGGATTTGATGCACTTTTGCCTGCAGTGTGAACGTAGCCTAAGATATTCAGAGCAATACACGGAAGAAATTCATTCATTAGTGCTGTTATATCCGATTAGGTTTAATGCCCATCATGTGAGTGGGGAAATAATAAATTATTAATGTCAAACACAGAGTAGAGCTTGCACTGATTCTTTTCTCTCCAGGTGTGTGGTCTTCTGGTGGAGTTGGAGGAAGCCAGAGGCAACCACGTGACCAAGGATGACGGCAGCTCTGCTGACATTTCTAGGACTTCAGAGGTGATCAGCCCTCACCAGCTCTCTTTCCGCAGTGTGGAGGAGCTCCAGAGGCACAACCAAAGCCTTCTGGGAAGGCTGAGGGAGCTGGAGGAGGAAAAGGACAAACAGCAGAGCCAAGTAACATCAGCACGGTAAATGTGATGGGGCTATTATATTTAGCCCTGCTACTTATTTTTATAATTGGTGTACAATTGTGTCCACAATGCAGTAACACAAATGTCTTAACACTGAACTTTCAGTAACTAGTAGACGTGATTTTAATTGGATGTACAGAAGCAAATCAATCTGACCATTGGGAGTTTTGTGTCTGCACGCCACTGAGATGACAAAAGATTGGACTGTAATGTCCGGTGTGGTAGTCACAGTA